TTTAAAGCACATTTTGGCTTCCCTCTTGACAGTGATACTGGGCTCTAGGGTGTGCCAGGTGTAATTAGAATTTTCTTCCTGGAAAAATCATTCGGGCAGGAGTGGTTTTGATGTGAATTTTCGCCCTAAGTGCTAAGTAATTTTGTGATTAATTGCATTGCAGTAGTTGCGATCACCCGTTTCCTCCAGTGGGCTAGAAAGGGAAGCGTTTGAAGGAGAGGTGATTATATTTGGTAAAAGCTGCCGCATGAAGTCCATCTGATGAATGAGCCGGCCAGTATTTGAATGTTATAAATGACCAAATTTTTCTTTTCTCTCAGCATAGTATTGAGTTGAATAAACTCATTTGCCAATACATAGAGAAGCTATTGCTGATGGTAGGCGAAGTTAGGACCAGTTAAGGCTCTTTCAACTGAATTGAAAGCTGGTTGGAAAGTGTTTAAATGCATGTAATTCTTTCCTTTGTATTATAGATACGCCCATGTGCACACTCGCACGTACCTAAGTGTCTCTGGCTTCAGGTTCTTAGATAATCGTAGCCTAAAGAGTAATTGGTAGCCAACTTTACATCTCAGGATTCTCAACAAAATGTAAATCTCAGTGGAAGTGTGTCTCTGATAAACCCCATGACTAAATACTAGAGACTGTATTTTGAAATGCTTGGGTTTTAATTTGGTGGGAAATAATATAAAATACTGGCACTGTGATTATTCTTTTTAAAGATAAGGTTTCTTCTAACTGGTTTCTAAAGGATTTCATGTTTCCCCCAATGGTAAAACTTTTCAAGCTGCCATCATTTAGAAAATAACCATAATCATTTTATTAAGTATGAGTGTCATGATTTTTCAAAATAATGTTTTCCAAATGTTCTATGAAACAGGTTTACAGTTCCTGAGAAAAAGGAAATTCAGGAGGGGTTCTACAAATCTTAGCAAATGCAGACTATTGCCCTAATGTGAGATACTGTCATTAACTGACCTCACTAGACTGTGAATTGAGTTATAATGTATTTCCCTTGTTGGGTTTATTAGGGCTTACAATCCACTTGTTTCCATTTCTGAAAGCATACATACACCACCAGTTTCTTTAGCTCTGGGTTCTTGGAGATCTAGTAACAACATTCAAATATAGACTCACTAGCCTAAGGCTAGTGTTGTTGATCATGATTAAAATGTTTTTACCACAAATTCAGTCAGTACCTGGTCCAAGTGAAATAGAGCCACGGTTTTGGCAGTATAGTTTTTGAAGAACATTTACAGCAAACTTTTGCCTGAATAGTTAGCTCAGACTTTGGTTCAAAGTATATAGAAGAGAGCTTATTTTTGTGCATGCACAGAATTATCAGGTGAAGCATTTCCCCCGTTATTCTGTTAATTAAAAATGAAGGAAATGACAATAGGTTTCAGGTCCCTTGTTATTTCCTCTCTGAATCCATTAATTGAGGCTATACTTTATATACTGTAGAGGTAACATATTAGTAGGTATAGTTCTATAATTTGGGGATATGTGGAATATATGAAATTGGAAAAAATAATGCTCCATGATGTTTTTGTGTGCTGATGTTCATAGTTGTGGTTTGAGCAGTAGCTTAGATCACAATACCATAATATTTTAAGTTAAAACATTTTACTGTTGTAAAGTACAAATAAGCATGCCTTTAAAATTTCACAGAATGTTGGGAAATAATACCCTGGGACCTTTCTGAAGAGCCACCAGTGATACTTTGTGTCTAGGATTCCAGGAGAAGTGAATTTAACATCTGTTGGTTATGAGCAAAAAATGTGCTACGTAAAATTTGACGGATAATAGATTATGCTGAAGAGAATGACAAATATGTTCTGAAAAAGTCTTTAATTGACCTCATATATCAACGTCTTCCCATTGCTGATGATCTCCCACTATCCCAGTGAAGAAGTAATACTGAAAAGTATAGTCCCAGCTTGGGTGCGGAGCAAGCCGCTCAACTCCAGTGGGCTTAACAAAATCTATTGCTAATTTGGGATCATGTCCCTAAACTTGGACTGCTCTAACTTTGCTATTTTTAAGCTGTTCTCTGACTCCACTGTAGAGAAATAAAGGAATTTAATGCGTGTTCCTCAAGTAGAGTACAGCAGTGTACTGAGACACTGGTTTCTGTATATTTTCTTTTATCTTACCCAAGCAGAAATGGAATCCTAGAATGAAAGGAGAGAACACTAAAGTTGTAGAATTGCTCTTCTATAGATGCTTAAGTAGGGAGCCTAATTTGCTTTGGTTTCAGTTTCATTCTCTGTAAAAATATCGAAAAGAATTGATTTTTAAAAACTTTTAATTCTGACATAAAACTCTTCAGTGTTATCTATTGTTCAGTAACCTGTTTCAATATCCCTGTATAATAATGGAAAAAATTGGCAATTGAATGGCTGTGGAAGCCTTTCAAAATGTCCCTTAACAGTGCTATGGAAAGTTAAATGGATTGAGAAAAACTTAATTAATATGAAGATAATATTCTTAATATTAATGTATAAAATGTCATGAACTTCAGTAGAACTCAAGTAGAGCAAATTCTGCTTTCATGCTCATAATTCATTGCAAATTGTTCATTGTAATTTGAATCTTCAATAAGTAAAGCTAAAGGTTAAAAAATTTGGGGGGTAGAGAAATTAAATGTGGCCATCTAAAGCCTTTTTTATGTAAATTGCATATTTATTACTCATTTTAGCTGATAGTCTTAAATTAAGGCTAGAACTTTGAAGGTCTTAGTTTAGTGTCAGCTCAGTAATTGACTCTAACTGTATAGATAGTGTTGAAGTGTTGTGAGTTTTAAAATATGGTATTACTATTAAAGGCAGACCTCATGCCTGTGTTCCTTTTTAAGATTTTATTTTGCCTTGCACTTTTAAAAAATTCTGCAATACTCTTTATTTCTTAATTACAGCTGACATTCAACTTTATATTACTTTCAGGTGTACCGCATAGTGGTTAGACATTTATATACCTTGCAAGTGATCCCCTAATATGGCCTTGTAATCTTTGACAATAATATAAAATTGTGAATTATGATAATAATGTGCAGTTATTTCAGTTATGTTAGACAAAATGGGCAGGCAGCAAACTTTATTTACTTATTTACTTATTTATTTATTATTAATCCTCACCTGAGGATATTTTTTCCATTACTTTTCAGAGAGAGTGGGAAGGAGGGAGGGAGGGTGAGAGAGAGAGAAATGTCAGTGTGAGAGAGACACATCAACTGGTTGTCTCCGGAAGACGCCTGGAGTGGGGTGGGAAGCGAACTCGAGACCCTTTGGTGTGCAGGCCGACACTCTAACCACTGAGCTCACCGGCCAGGGCAGGCAACAAACTGTTAAACTAAGATATCTTGCTACTCAAACTGTTAGTGTGTGTGTAATTATTTGTCAAATCTATGACTCTCCATTTCCCTCCTTTTATTTCAGGCATTCCTCGAGTTATCCAATGTAAATTTAGACTTCCCCTGAAATTAATCTGCCAGCCAGGTCAGCCTTCAAAAATTGCAAGCCACAAACTAACTATTGATACCAACAGACCTCCAGTCAGCCTCCTCAGTCTCTTCCCAGGTAGGACTTTTGAAGTAACATGCCTGTGATATCAGAAATGTGAAGAATTTAGCAGGGAATCCTTCCCCAGCCGGTAATGATGGGGTAATTATCAGTTGGCTGCTAAGTCAGAATATAAAAATGCCTCAGGGTTTTTGCCGTGCCTGTTCAAAGGCGAGTAGCTTGTATCACCAGGTAATGAGGTGCACCTTTTCAGTTTGGTAACGCTAGCAGCATCATTATCCTGCTCGAGTATTCAGAGGTGAAGGCGTGAAATGTTGCTCTTCAGACTGTGGAAGTTTTTAGCTTGGAATGTAAATATTTATTATTCATTTTCGTTGTAGGTTTTTGGATATGTACTTATTTAAAGTACAGTCTCAGGGCCCTGAAAAGTAATTGCCTAAGTGGGCGCTTTTAGCAGTTCTGCTGTCTGGGCAACTGCGGGGGGCGAGTGTTCACTCTCCGCCTCTGACCTTTAGAAGGGGCTCGTGTATAAAGCTTCATTGGGGTAATTTGTGAAGGTGTGACTTGCCCCGGGTGTCAGTCCTTCTTTCTGGAGTAGCTTAGAAAAAAAGATAAAGCACCTGAAATAGCTAGGGCTCCTAATGTGTTCCATCTATTTGCTTTCTTGGTGATGGGGTGGAATTAAAAAAACAAATCTGGGAATTAAACCAACCCTTTTAAATCCCTCATTAAAAATCGTCACCGTTGACTCTGAGATGCATCCTCACCCTTGCATTAGTGGGTAGGATTTAGAATACAAAGAGTATTTCCCACAAGGTTTAGCGATTTATGGTAAGTCAACTTTCATGTTATTAACTACTTAAAGTGCTTAAGATATATTTTTCATTAATTTAAAGTGTTTAAAGAGCTTTATTTATGTATAACTATGAGAAGCCTTCAAAATGGAATGCTTTTTATTACAATCGATGTATTCTTTCGTTTGGATTAAGTTTGAGTATATATATGTCTATTGTTGGCAAATAGTTTTGTACATTTTGGTTTTTCCCTTCCCTTTTCTTCCATCCCAGTCAATTTTCTTATAGCAAATTTGGATTATAAAAAGGCAGAGTGACTACCTTTATAACATCTTAAACAAATGCATTAATTCCTTGGGTCTCCTGTACTATCCTGGAAATTTAGTAGGAAATTATATGTTTCACACTGAGTATATTGGTGCCTTTGAAAAACGTTTAAGCCCCTGGCCCCTGAGTGGTTGCTGTGTGCTGTGGGAGGATGGAAGCCGCAGAGGTGGCGTGAGAAGGCTTTCTCCTGGTCAGACAGGCTGTCCCTAAACTCGGGAGGGCCTAGGTGACTCACCCCTTTCTCCCGGGTTGGGGCTAGCTGTCTTGGCTGGTCGGCATATACTTGCTTCTTGGCCACTTTAGAAATGGGGCTCAGTGACAGGTTTTTTAAAATTTCCCCTCGAGACCCAATGTATGTGATATAGCGTGTTTTGGGGGGGAGTTCCTGGATTTGTGTCTGTATGGAACATGCTGGAGCCTATAACTGCTTAATATAAGCACTCTGGGCACCTTTTCACTTTTCATGAGTATTTTTCACTCTTGGGACATGTAAGACTTTTATATGTTGATGTCAAAGTTGCTATTGAAAATGTACTTTTTAACTGAACTAAACAAAAGTAATGAGCTTCATAGAGAAGAAATAAATCTACTTTTAATCTCTTCCTATTTGTTTATTTCAGTCCTTTTTGTGTGAGCAAAAATAGATATATTTAAAACAACTTTAATTTTTCTTACTACAAAAGTAAAGTGAAATTCAGAAATGGATAACCAAGAAGAAGTGAGAAAAACAGAGTTTGATTCAACTTTATTTGACATCAACACATAAAAATCTTATATATACCAAGAGTGAGAAGTACCTGTGAAAAGGGTAACGGGAAAAACTACCAAGAACGCGTATTTTAAACAGTTCTGGGATTCCAGCATGTTCTGTAAGAACACAAACCCAGGAACTACAGAAGAAGAGCAGCTATATCACATACATTGATCTTGAGGGAAAATTGAAAAATCTGTCACTGAGCCCCGGAGTTCCGGGGTGCTCTTTCTTCCAACCTTCGTTCCCCTTTGCGTGTTATTTCGGGTAGTTTCTATCGCTGTATAGTCAAGTCACTTTCTTTTGCAGGGTGTGATGTGCTTGACCCCACTCTGTATTTTTCACCTCTGGCACTGCAGCAGTCATCTCTCAGAGTTCGATATGGCATGTTTTTTCTTCTTAAAATATCTTCCATGTGCCTAACAGAACTTCTTTGAACATAGAACAGCATAACCGCTGTTTAAAGGGCCTCGTTTGCTTCTGTGGTCTGTCGCCCAAGTTAGTTGTGACTGACAGCCCTTGTTATGGATCGTAGTTCCTTCCTTCCTTCTTTGCCTGCCCTGCCATTTTTGATTGAAGGACAGAACTTCTGACCCGAGAGAGCAGGGCTCGCTCCCTGCTCTGGGTGCAATCACGGGTTCCCCATTCCCTGTCACCTCTCCGGGTGCTGTCCCCAGCCTCCGAGCTTCCCCACAGGCTTCTACTGATGAGGACTCGGGTGTGTGCTCAAGGGGCACACTTCACCGCTTTGCAGGCCTCCCCCTTTTAGCGTTTTTCTCTGCCACCCTGCCCTGTGACCTTGTGCTGCTTTGGCCTTCCCATACTCCTGGCTCTGTCTCCCCTTCTTGGGGAGAAGCCTGGGCTGCACCTCGGTTTCCCTCCCTGTGCTGCGGCCTCGAGATCTTTCTCTGGGCAGTGAGCTGGGGAAACCGCAGGCTCTCTCTGTTTGTTTGCTGTTTGTCTGCTGTTTGTCAGGGATCATTGTTGCTCATGTCTTGATTTCCAGTGTCTTAAAAAAAGCGTTTTATACTTTTTGTCCCATTTTTTCAGTTGTTTTAGATGGAAGGACAACTTTACCTCCATTTTCCCCATCTTGGCCTCAAGTGAAAGTCTCCACCGTTATAATTTTTGTTTGTTTTGAGTAATGATTCAAATATGGTTAAGTTTTTGCAATTTTTTTGATATGAATTTTTTGGTATCTCCTTTTCTATAGGTTTTCCCCTTCACCTTCCTTTTTAATTGTTTGTTGAAGAGTACAGATTATTTTTCCTATGCGTTTCCCACTCTCTGAATTTCGCTGATTATGTCCCTGTGATGTTTCATGTTTTCTCTGTCCACCTTGTTGCCAGAGCTGACAGTCAGGCTTCATTATTTTGGCCACATTACTTAATGAGTGGTGGTGGATACTTTCAGCAGGGGCACGTGATGCCTGTTTGCCTCTTTTTGTGTGTGATGGTAACAGCCATTGAATATCAATTTTCATTGGAAGTTGAAAATATTTATATTTTATTTCTTTCAAGCTTCCTTCAGTTTTTGGCTGAAATATTTCTACATGGAGAGCCTTTCCTTATCTACTATGGGCTATGTAGTGCGATTTGAGCAGGATCGTCAGCATAAATGCTTGGTTCTCTGTGTTTATTACTGACTTAAAAAATGATGAGTTGATTCTCTAGTCCTCCAAGACTGAGCAATTGGCTTTTTTTCTTTGTATCAACGTAAATGCATCCCTTTAATTATATTTGATGTGTTTCACTTAATTGCAGCTATTATCTTTTTTTTAAATACGTTTTTATTGATTTCAGAGAGAGGAAGGGAGAGGGAGAGAGATAGAAATATCCATGATGGGAGAGTCATTGATCGGCCACCTCATGCACGCCCCCCACTGGGGATCGAGCCCGCAACCCCGGCGTGTGCCCAGAGCGGGAATCGAGCCCTGACCTCCTGGTGCCTGGGCCAACGCTCAACCACTGCATTAGGCCGGCCAGGGAATATTATCTTTTTTGGTGCTTAGGTGCTTTCCTCCCTGGCCAGTGGTAGTCTCCTTCAGTTGGCTCTTACTTCGTTTTCCCACAACTCTGCTTGTCACTGGTAGTTTCCTTGCTTTTGTTTTAGGTTCATCTTGTGTTCTTTGTGCCTGAGACCTAGAGTGAACCAGTGGGAGAAAGGAGTCAGATGATTTCAGGGTGTTCTTGTGGGGCAGGAATTTTAGCAGTTGGAAGCTAATATGGAAACTGGTTAATATAATTCATACTGGGCTTTAAACATCACTAGCGACATAAAACATACGTGTCCTCAGCCAAGCTTCCCGTTTCAAGCAGTGGGTGCCTTGCCTCATGGTTATGTAAGGTGATTTTCTCTTTTTTTGTAGGCTTTGCCAGCCAGTCAGATGATGATCAGGCGAATGTCATGGGTTTTCGCTTCCTAGGCGGCTCCCAAGTCACTCTTCTTGCTTCCAAGACCTCCCGTAAGTAGAACCGTGCCATTACGGCCTCTGACATTTTCTGTTGAGTGCACCACGCCATGGTCAAGGATTTCTGCAAAGGGTGATGTGCGGCTAAATGGTGAAAACTGAGTGTGGAGGTATTAAGTATACAGGACATAAAAGTTATAAAGCTAGGATCCTATTTTATCAGAGATATTTATCTTTGCTTGGGGATGAGGAGCCCTTGAGAGAGGAATTGAAAGGATTGAAAATGTTTATGAGATAGGTATATGGTGAACTAGGTTTTAGGGACTACCAGAAACTGGAATTAATTTTTGTGTGTGTATATTCTTATATCTTTTTTTTTTTTTTTAAATCTTCACCCAAGGATATGTTTTAATTTTTTTTTTTTTTGAGAGAGAGAGATTGATGTGACAGAGACACATTGATTGGTTGCCTCTCATATGTACCCCAACTGGGGATTGAACCTGAAGCCTAGGTATGTGCCCTGACCAGGAAGCAAACCCGCAACCTTTTGGTGTCAGGACAACGCTCCAACCAACCGAGCCACCTGGCCCGGGCAGCACCATTTTGTTTTGAAGAGCTTTCATCTTCACTTGGATGATGGACTCCATTTGGTACATTTCTCTTTGTTAAACTAGTCTCTTTAGTTGAACTAAAAATTGTTGCCAAGCTGTCCTCGGGATATTCCACACACCTGTTTGCCTTCAGTTGGTGATGCTGGATGATGAATCTGCAATTGAGATCAGTAACAGCAAGAAGTTATTCTTTGTCAAAATTGGGGATATTTGTGTCCTAATACATTATATTTATTCTTTCCTGGATAAAGTAACTTCTAGGGCATTGCTGTGGGGCATGATTGCTTTACCGTTATGTAAATAACACCAGATATCCAGGTATATAGCTGAATAGATGGCAGTGCCATAGTGCAAGCAGGACAGGACCTTTTAAATAAGGAACCAAATGAACTGTGTCAACTGAAACTTGAAAAGTAGCCATTACAATTCCCTGATGGCTTTTTTAGCTTTAGTGACAGAATTCTACCTGGGAAATGCCCTTGGTAAGGAAGGGAGATAGATACAAAGAAAGTACAGTTCTCTGGGGTTGAGGCAGTTGCTGGTGCTCCCTACTGCTCTATCAGAATATTCATCCCCAGGAAAGGAATGAAGTAATTTGTACCCAGTGTGTGTCTGGCATTTTTCTTTTTTTGTGATGCTGAGTCCAGGATACAATTTCTCTTCTGAATATCACAGAGACTCTTAACTTCTTCAATAATGTCTCTATAGCTTGTCTATATTTGTGATTATTATACTTACGCAGTTATAATGTATGAGTAGCAAATTCCATAGAGCTTTAAAAATAAGGGTAAAACTCAATTTACTAGATATGATTCTGTCTGAGCTCAAATCGGTGCAGTCTAAGCTGCAGCTTAATCCAGGGATAAATTTAGAGTACCTGGTGTTGCAGGTTTTCAGTTTGTAGTGTTTTCAGAAAGAATTGGACAACCAAACTCAGTAATTCAGAAGTGAGATGTAGCTGGTAGGGGGTGTGGATTTCGTTTTGTTTATAAAGTAGCAATATTAGAGCACATTTGAATGTTAATTGAAATGATTGAGTTAAGTGGGAGAGGCTGATGATCAGGAGAGGGAAAGGACTCACAAAGCAATGAAGTCTTTGAGAAGGAGAAAGGGGATGGGATGCAGACCCTGGGGGGCAGGCAGTAGGGGTGTCCAGAGAGATTGAAGGACAAGCTTTTGTAACTTTACTGTGACAGAAGGGATTGGGTTTAAGTCCAGGGGAACTTTGTAGATTTGTTGGTGGAAATAAGGGAGCTTTGATGATATCTAAATTTAAAGAAAAGGTATGGCGTTGTTGTCTTGGAGAACAAATAAGAAAGCAAGCTCATGAATGAGGCAATGTTGAGGTCCCATTTGAAGTTTGAGATCCTGAATTTTGAAGTGAAACCACTCATCCTTAGACAGTTTTCCCTGACAGCGGTTTGTTTATCAGCATCCAAGCAACCAAACTCAGGGCTGGGATTTTGAAATGGAATTGCAGATAAAATATTTCTTTGAGATTATAATAATGGACTACCCAATCTAAGATGATAAGAAGAGAAATAAAGATGAGAGAAAACTGATACATGGTGAAAATGAATGGATTCAGTGGTGCACAAGTGTCAATGAGGCTTACATTGTGAAATAGTAATTATAGAGCAAGAGAACCAGAAGAACATAAGATAGTGGTTAGAGAGCGAATGATATGTTGAAGTCAATTCAGAGGAACTGCAGGTTCAGATAATGACAAGCTCATCAGGAAAGGTGTGACCTTGGGGGAGTGGCTTTTGATAATAGAGAGGACAGCAATGGAGACAAGGATTCCAAGGAAATGACATGTCCCATTAAGAGAGCCTGTTTGATGTTAGCACAATGAGTGAGAAAAAGAAACACACCCAGACATATTATTGTGCAGTCTTAGAGCACTAAGGATCAGGAGCGTATCCTCAAGGGTTAAAAAGGAAAAAGCAAGCTACTCAAGGAACCGGAATCAGGAAGACATTTAACTTTCATCAGAATCAGTGGATGCTAGAAGACAGCGGGAGAGTCTTCTACAGGATTTGAGGGAAATGATTTTCAACTTAGATTTCTGTACCCAGCTAAACTGGTCATGAGCAGTGAGTGCTGAGTAAATACATACTCTAGTGTCACAAGCAGGGTGAAGCAAATTTATGTAGCTTCAAGTAGGCTTTTGGAAATGGAAAAGATAACTAACACACCAAAAGACTATGCTGAAAGATTTTAACATGCTAGAAAGAGGGGCTGGATCAAATATGGCCAAGTTTAAAGTCCTTGCATGTCTCTTGATTGTTTAGCTTGCAGGCAGGAGTATAATGAAAGCATTGTAGTCGTGTATATTAATAAGTTTGGGCCTTGGAAAAGGTTTTCTTTTGCATCTGCCAAGAGAAAGCATATGTAATCTTTTTAAAATTTATTTATTTATTTAAATTAAGTTTACAGGGGTGGTATTGGTTAATACATTCCAGGGTGGGCAAAATTAGGTTTACCGTTGTTCGTATGGAGAATACAATAATTAAGAAATAATGATACAAGAATAAACTCTGTTTCACATACAACTGTAAACCTATTTTCTACAACACATTGTCTGTATATTGCATTGTGGGCCCACCACCCAAAGTGTAGTCTCTTTCTGTCACCATATATTTGGCCCCCTTTACCCCCCCTTTATTCTCCCCCTACTCTCTTTCCCCTCTGGTGACCTCCATACTGTTGTCTGTGCCTATGAGTTTGTTGCTTCCTGTTTTATATCCCACAGCATAGGTAATCTTGAAAACATGTTAACCAAAATAACTTCAGAGGAAATAATGTGAGAGGCTTGCTCTTGCCTCTGTTCATTTTGCGTTCAGCAGACATACTAGATATAAAAACCGTGGTGGCTCTTGTGAAGCTCCTGGACAAATGGGAGAGAAAACAGGTAGAGAACCCGTAAAAGTGCTTGGTGTGCTTACGGAAGCCCAATTTAGGTGCTCTTGAAGCCCGAAGGAATGAGGTTCCAGAAGAGATTTTATTTGTAAAGGATCTTGAAGGATGAATGGTAGATTATTAGGTGGAGGGCATTCCACAAAGAGGAAGAGGTATTGTGATCCTTGATAGAGCATGGGGTTTTAGAAATCAGTGGGGTTTTTTTCTGTTCTGGGAATTTTATACAGTAGCGGCTCCATGATAGTTTTTCAGTGAAGGCAAAAAATTTAGCGATAAGTGTAATGATCAAATCCAAAGTCACCTGAAACCTACCCCATGCCACTGTGAGCATTTTAATGTGTGCAGTGATTCATCACTATATCACTGTTTAATATTTATCTTAGGATTTCTTAGCAGTATTATCAAGGGGAAAAGGGCAAATTATATAAATCCAGCTTGGAAAAAGCCTTTTGAAAAGTGAATCTAGAGAAATCATCTATAGTTTCTACTACTATTGAAGAGTTTGTATATTTAGAATATTATACTAATATCTACTGAAATTGTTTATATTATTTTCTCAAACTTTTTGATTCAAAAGGCCTTCATCTGCCTTTCCATCTCACATTTAAAAATTTCCAAATAGCATAAATTACACTGATGCTTTGTTTATGACATGAATACAAACATTATTTATATTGATGAACTTCAGATGTTCTGACATGAATAGACACTGACGTGATGCATTTTTGTGCCCTGCTTAGTTAAATCCATTATTTTCTCCATTTGTAGTAGAGAGGAATGGCAATTGACTGAGCTCCAATCATCCAAATTTATTTCATTTGGAAGCTGTAATGGTTATTTCCACTGAGATGCTATTACAAGATGCAAAGGAAAAAAGATTAAAAAAAATAAATTGAATGTTCATTTTGGCAGATATTTTAATTACTGGTATTGTAAGGGTATATTTTAAAATACAACTTTCTTCTTTCATGTTATATTATAAATAGATTTTTATTTCTCTTTTCCATGAAATGTATACTCTGGAAACTCTCCAGGGCAATGTTAACCATTTTGAAATACAAATACTGAGAAAATGCTTAATAATCATAATAATGCCTTATAAATCTTTGACTCATTCATTCTTGTTGATTTTTGCTAATCTGAAAAAAAGCAACTTAAATAATTGTTTATATTTCTGAAACCCAAGTTAATTATAAATTTTTTATTGCAAAAAATTTAGTTTTATTTCTTCCCTGCATGTATTGATGAAAATAAAACAGTTGAAGTAAAAAAATGTTACAGAAAATATTACATCTATTTAAATGTTCATTATTTTTACGATTCTATTATTTGGCAATATTCATGCAATATACTTGGTCACAGTAGTGTTCTGTCTTAGTCCATATGGGCAGCTATAACAAAATACCATAGACTGGGTGGCATTTAAATAATAGAAATGTGCTTCTCACAGTTTTGGAGGCTGGGAGGTCCAAGATCAAGGCTCTGGTATGGCTGGTGTCTGGTGAGGGCCTGCTTTAGGTTCATGGATGCCTGTCTTTTTGCTGTGTCCTCACATAGCAGAGGGCAGGACAGTTCTCTGTGTTGTCTTTGATGAGGGCACTAATCCCATTCATAAGGGCTTCACCCTCATGACCTAATCACTTCCCTAAGGCCCCACCTCCAAGTACCATCATATTGGGCATTAGGATTTAACGTACGAATTTGGGGGGATATAAACTTTTAGTTTATTTCCAGTAGCTGCAGGATATCTAGAAATTTATTTGTATTTGAATTTTTCATCAAGCTTTAGATTTTTTACTTGTTTTACTGCACACTTTTTGTATCAGATTGTTTTAATTTTTTGACATATATATATTTAATCCTCACCAGAGGATATGCTTTTATTGATTTTTAGAGAGAGAGGGAGAGAGAAACATTAATGCGAGAGAAAAACATCAATCAGTTGACTCCTTCGTGAGTCCTATTGAGGACTGAACCCAAAATCTAGGCATGTGCCCTGACCAGAATTGAACCCTCAATCTTTTGGTGTGTGGGATGACATGCTAACCTACTGAGCTACCCGGCCAGGGTTCGATCAGTATTTTTCAGTATCTAATTGTGATTGATCTAAATTTTCTGTAATTCAAAGATAGATGGCATTTTATAGGTACAGTAAATCCTCGATTTTGCAGATCTCAATTTAACGGGCTTTGAATTTAATGGGCAAAATTTTTAGTCCCTAAGTCATATGTAAAAATTAACACCCTGTTAATTTAAAAATCCTTTTAACCAAGGTTTGCTTATAATTAAATTAACAGGTTATTTTTTTGTTGTTATAAATTCACTGTTATTTTAAACAAATTTTAGCAAATAGGCCATATGTTGGGAAAAACACTAGTAATTTTGCTGACATAAATAAAAAATATTAAATATGTCTACAGCTATAGTCTACATATTTAAATCCAAGAGTCACCACTCGTAAACAATGTTTGGCAAATGATTAGCAGGTGATCACATGCATCTCCAGTGGTCATTGGTTCTGTTATCATGTGGAATGACCTTCTGCAGCAGTTTTAATGTGGGCCCTCCAATGTTCCTATGTGCGCTAAGCCTACTCCGGTGACTGGCGAGTGCACACACTTACTATTCAGCATAAATTTACAATTACTGTAATACATGTAGGAAAGTTTTCTGTGAAATTAAACTTTTCATACATACTTAATTTTAATTACACAAACGTGTCTACATAAGTAAAAACAGGTAAACTAACTGATTTGTCAATTTTTTAACATATAATTTTGAAACCTGCTTTATTATGTAATGGACTTTCAGCTTTAACGGACACCCCCTCGCCCGAATTAGTCTGTGATATTGAGGTTTTACTATAACGAGACTAGATTGTGTTTTTACAATGGCTGTTTCCTTACCTTTTATGTAAAACTTTTTTTTTTTTTTTAAGGAGGACCCAAATTTGAGTGTTTTTTAAAATTGTACGGTATCCTGTTATAAGATACATACATAGTAAAAGGGACCATACTCTATAGTTTGCCACTGTGACCCCATATCCTTGGCATTAAACTTGAAAATGTTAAGTGGCTGATGCAGAATACCTCAGTAATGCGCCAGAAATCTTTTTCTCAAGCCGGTGGAAATGGTTTCTATATTTCATCAAGGAAACCTTTGTCCTTTCCGTTTTGCTGTTCATGTCAGAGTTAGCGATAATTGGTGCATTTTCAGCGGGCAAGGAGCATCTTTCCTAACCACTTCCTCTCTTCTAGAACGATACCGCATTCAGAGTGAACAATTTGAGGATCTTTGGCTCGTAACCAATGAGCTTATCATCCGCCTTCGAGAACATTTTGAAAACCAGGGAATCAAAGATTTCGCTTGTTCCTTTTCTGGATCCATGCCCCTTCAGGAGTATTTCGAGTTGATTGACCACCATTTTGAGGTGTGTATGGTTAGAACCCACATCATTCATAATTTTTCAACCTGTGAGAGAGGTGCCGCGGAGGTGAGAATTGCGGGGTGCACGCCTGGGGCCGGGTGCCCAGCTGTCCTTTGGCTGCCGGCGGCTTTGGGAACGTGCCCCTGCCCGCTTGCCCGGTTTGCGATCAGGGCGAGGCGCAGCACTGAAGAGTGGCTGCCTGGAGCTAAGCATGCAGCCTGGCCCCGGAACAGAGCTGGTTTAATTCTTCCACATGGGGACTTAGCCTTTGACCCCAGTGACCCAGCGCTGAAGCGGCCATTAGGCTAACTAATTCTAGCGAGCCATAAATGAGGTGTGATTATAAAGCAGTGATCTTTCCTTTTTTTTTTTTTTTTTTTTAACAAGCACACTAGAACTTGTGCTTCTGAGTGAGGGTTAACCACAAGGGGCACTGAGTAAAATGCTAGGTGACTACATGTCTAAATAAATGAGATCTGACAGCGACTTTGTTGCCTGAATATTTTTTACATTTCTGCTGTGGAAGTACCTTCAGAGCCTGTTTTAGATTCTCTTGAGTATCTTGATGGGGTCAACTCTTCATCCTTTGAAGACTGATTTGATATTTGGGAATAGTCTAGAGTCATGTTTTGTGAATGAATTGGACAATGACAGTCTTGTTTCAAAAGTCCCATGTGTTAAAATATATTCACCAGGCTCTGCTTAACTGATTTGGCTGTAAATGGACTTTGTAGGCAATTACAAAGGGGAATTTCAAAATAATTCTGAACATCACTCAAGGAAGTGTTGGTTTCTAGAGTGACTACTTTTTAAGAAATCAATAGGTTTTTGCATTTCAGTTTATAAACTGGGGTGTGTGTGAGAGAGAGAGAGAAAGAGGGAGGGAGGGAGAGAGGGAGGGAGAGAGAATATGTCAGGTAACTAGCCAGTCACTTGGGTATTCTGCCTAATTTTAGTCTCTTAACATTCTAAAGGCATTGACTTCAAGCTATAAAGAATTCTTTTACTACAGAGTGAACATAAAGGGAAAATTTCAGTGCATACAATCCAATGAAAAATAACATGTTATTATCAAGTAAAGTTGAACTTATTTGGGTTTCCCTTACATATGCTGATATGTTACAGGACAGTATGCTTTTAACCAAATTGTGGCACCAAAATCAATAGTTTGGGTAATACATTTAGGAATTTTAAGGATTGATAACCTTTTGGGGGAGAAATTCTTACTCTTTTTCCCCCCATGTGTTTAATTAGTTTTCACAAGACATTTATTAAATAATATGTCTTTTCCCCAGGGATACTATGCATCTTTACTAAATTTTTATTTGACCTCTTCTACTGTATTATTTATGTACTCATGCGCCAAATACTACTGTTTTAATTCTTTTAACTCTATAGTATGTTTACATTTCTTCATTACTCTTTCAGACTTTTATTGGCATTTTCTGTATTTTTACTGTAAATATGCGTTGTTGTGCACATTTAACCTGAATTTAAGAGCTTCTTCATTGTAGCTGCGGATAAATGGTGAAAAGTTGGAAGAACTCTTATCTGAAAGAGCTGTGCAATTTCGGGCCATCCAGCGGCGGCTGTTAACAAGGTTCAAAGATAAAACACCTGCCCCCCTCCAGCACCTTGACACCCTGCTGGACGGAACCTACAAGCAGGCAAGTGCCTCTACCATGTTCTGTTCATTTTGAAAGGACAAATCAGAGGGCTTTTTCTCAGTTAGCTTCTGGAGAGGAAAGAAAAACAGCTTACTATGTAAACCTCAATAACTGCATTGATAATACAGTTGCTTCTTGAAATTCTCATGGTTATTTGAAAAGTAAGCATTTTGAGGGGCAGTCTGTAGCAGCCGTAGGGGCCTTGGGAAAGAGCACTGGGCTTGGAGTCCAGGGTCCCCAGCTCTGTCACTTATTAGCTGTGTGGCTTTTGGCAACTCCCTTACCCTCTCAGAACTCAGTTTCCTTCCGTAAACGGGAGTAAATATTCACAGTGTTGTTAGATTCCACTGCACAGTGTCGTGGAGGTGCGGGGTAGATTGCTCTCCAAATACAGCTGCTGGTTTCTCCTGGGCAGGAGCGGTTACGTGGCATCCCGTGGGCACTAATGTGTGTCCTGGTCCACACTTCTCTCCTCTCTTCAGGGCACTTCTCATTTGGTTTGTTCTCCATTATTTCTTTCCTCCCTCCTGTCCCTTCTTACCTATTTGTGGACTGGAATCTCCTCTGGCCCCTGCCGTGGCTGCCATGCTGGGCTGCAGACACGCTGATCTAGTCTTGGATGAGGCTGGATCTTTCTGTGGACGCGATGGCAGAGGGTGTGGAAAGGATTTGATGAGGGTGCTTGATATGCCTTCCATGTTCCCAGAGAGCAAGACTTCCTTGGTCTTGACACATTTAAAGTGCTGGGTTTTTATTTTCTCTGCATAGCCTCAGGGTTGGGTTTTTCCATGATATGTACTTACAGAAAAGGTGACCAAAACCATGGGTCTTCACTTGTATCTGTATTTGTAACTCTGCATTCTTTTTAGATTAAAAAAGAGAATGAACGAGTTTTCAAAAGGAAAATATGAATACTATAAGAAATTTGACTTAGTTTTAATGTAATTTACTACTCAGTTTTATCACAAATATTCACATTAAATTATAGCGAGCTATTGCTCTCTATTTTAATTCATTTTAGTAAAATTTTAATGACATAGTTAATATATGAACATAATTTTCCAATGAAAATTACGATATTCTACACAATGCTAAATTCTCCAGCTTGGTTCTTTATAGACTTTTCACAAAGGTAATCACTTTTATATGTTTTTGTGTCTTTCTAGATCTTATTTTTTTTTTTTTTACATTCAGGAATGAAATATTGTTTTGTGAGGCTAAAACTCATCCCTCAGTAGTATCATGTACGTATTGGCCTCTTTTTTCATTTCCTGCTAACAGTGCGTGCTGGAGCTTGTCCTCTGTTCCTGGTATCATGATTAAGAACTTCGGATCTAGAGTCAGCTTGCTTGTATTTCATACCTGGCCCTGTGACCTGGGGCAGGCTACTCAAACAGGCAAAGAGAAAACCAGACCTTCCCACCTGTAGCATGGCGTCTCCGCCCTGGGGCTGTTGTGAGGGTTGAAGTGTTTAAACACATACATTGCTTAGAACCGTGCTCGGTACACAAGAAGCTCTCAACAATGTTAACTACAGTTCTGGGGACGGCTCTTCATGTTTATTTGACTATAAGTTATGCCATCTCACTGATCAGACAGAAGAGGTTACCATAGTCCACCGTCTTTCCAAAACTCTGCTATCTGACAACCTCACAAATCTAGACCTCAGCTGAGAATCAAGAAGATCCTGTATTCTCAGGGGCATCCCCAGACTCCTCTAGCGTACCTACCTGCCTTGGGCAAATGTTTCATTCTAGAGGGGATCCCAAAAGAGAAGGGGCATCAGATCATGAGGTCAAGTGGCTGTCTTCCCCGAATCCCTGATTATTCATCTGGATATGTTCCTAGAAGGAAAATAGCTCAATCAAAAATATTTCTCCTTCTCTCTTTCTCTTTCTCTCTCTCTCTCTCTCTCTCTCTCTCTCTCTCTCTCTCTCTCTCTCTCTCACACACACACACACACACACACACACACACACACACACTGCCTTGCAGAAATGTGCCAAATTATACTTCCATCAGCAGTATAAAAAACACCTGTTTTTAGGTATTATTGTTTTGATCTTTACAGCTTTTAACTGAAAGATAATTTGATTGCTGTTTTACCTTTTCTTTCTTGGCTAACCAGTGAGGTTGAGCATTTTTAGTACATTAATCGGCCATTTGTATTTTTTTGATGTGATTTACATACGTATACCCTTTTTACCAGGAAGTTCAGCTTTCTCTTGCTATTTTGTGAATATTAGGAGTGGCAATCTTTTATCATACCTTTGTCATTCATAAAAAATACTTTGTGCCCTGGTCAGTGTGGCTTAGTTGGTTGGGCATCCTCCCAGGCACCGGAAGGTTGCTGGTTCGATTCCCGGTCAGAGCACATGCCTGGGGTATGGGTTTGACCCTCAGTAGGGGGTGTGCAGGAAGCAGCAGGTCGATGTTTCGCTCTCACGTTGATGTTTCTCTCTTTCCCTCTCCCTTACTCTCTCTCTCAAAATCAATAAAAAAATCTTAAAAAAAAATACTTCATATATATGAGAAATGTAATCTCTCTTCATATATAAGAAAACTTTCACCAATTTGTCATTTGCCTTTACTTTTATTTATAATGTTTTTTGACATGTAAAATTTAAAAAGTATTTACATAGTACAATCTATCCATCTTTCTTCTTTAGGCTTCTCTGCCTAGGAAAGCCTTCCCTGTGCCAAGAGCACATGAACATAGACCTATAATTTATTCTAACATTTCCCTGCGATCATTCTTTACATACACTTTTTAAATCCATGTGGAATGTATTATGCAATTTCATGGGAATCTAATCTCCTCTCCAAAAATGGTGAGCTGGTTGTCTCAGCCCCTGTTTATAGCATAATCCACTTTTCTCCTAAACACTACCTGTGTCATTTGACAATTTTACTGTACAGCAAACCACCCCAAACCTCAGGGGCTTAAAACAACCACAGTTCATTACATTTCGTGAGCCTCTGGGGTCACCTGTGCGGGTCTGTTCACCTGGGCCATGTGTGGCTGATTTTGACCTGCCTCACTCATGTATCTCTGGTCAGGGGTGGCTCAGCTGGGACCAGATGGTCTGGGATGTACTTGCTCCCATATTTGGTGGCTTGCTGACAGTTAGGTGGGCTGATTGTGCCACATGGTCTAGGCTCGTTGACATGGTTGCTGCAGGTCCCAATGCACAGTGCTCTCTGGGGCTCTGTTTGTGCCATGTCTCTTAATCCCCATTGTTTTTTACCAGCCTGGATACTAGGGCTGGGGAGACAGACTCTGCCTCTCTGTCGGAGGAGTGGAGAATTGCGGGCATTTTCACAATCAACCCTGCTGCTCTTAGTTTGCTAAAATTAATTTTGCTACTAAGTTAGCAAAATGTTTTAAAAGCTAATTTTTTCAACCTTCCCTAGCCCTTGAACTTAGGTTTTCTGTACTCTTGACTTTCAAACCTAAACTTTTGTTGTCATTAAAATCTCATTCATTTATAATCAGTTGTGGTCTATGGACTTTGTAATTAATTAGGTTTGTCAAGCGATGTTGAGAGCAGGCAGGGTATCTGTGTTGTTTTCAGGCTAACAAGACTGCCCGGATACTTGCTGATGTGCTGCACTGTGCTCAGTTGTTCCGGAGATGGACTCTGCTGTCAGGCCTCCTTGTACTTCCTCACCGTAGCCCCGTCCACGACAGCTTCCTGGGCATGCGACTCTGTGGGCACAAGAGCCCTGTGTTTGGCCTCATGCTCTGTGGTGGCCATGATGAAATTCGTAACGCTTTTCCAACAAGAGGCACCGTATTTTCATTTTGCTCTGGACACCACAAATAATGGATGTCGTCCTGGCTCTGTCAGGAGGCTGATTTCTGATGAATAGAGCAAGGTGACTGAGAGTCCCAGTACAGAACCCAGTTCAAAGACAGAACAGAGTTTAAAGACAGAGTGGCTTTATTGCCACTGTCCCCAAACCTCCTGTAAGTCTCCCCAAAACGAAGAGAAAGGAATGCAGCGGGCATCAGCGGGAGCCCCTCTGGACAGCTGCTGGGCTTCTCTCTGGGAGGCATCTTGGGTAACTGACAGTGAAGAGACAAGGGTGTCTCATTAGGAGCACCCCTCTGCAATGGGTTGTCTTGAGGCATGTTGCGGGTTACAGCCCCTTTTTAGGCTTCCAACAGGTGGGTCACTGGCGTCAAGATCCACCATCAGTAGTTAGGAGTTTTGTTACACAAGGGGGCAGCCAACCATTTGTCTCCTGCTTTTAACTAACTCGTTTCCTACATCCTGTGTCTTTGATTGGATAGGAACCTGACACCCATATCCCCACATTACCCTTTACTCTTCTAGCATGTTTGTCACCTACTCCTCCACTGGGGCACCTGCCAGGCAGCCCTCCTCGAGGTCAGCCAGTGGCTGGGCCAGGAGGGACTAGCACCCTCACTGTGGGAAAAGCATCCTGTGATTCTTACGTGGGAAGGTCTGTCCTCCAGCGTGAGAAGACTTTCCAGTTGCTTACCACACTTTCAATAATTTATTCTGGAATTTTTTGGGGAAAGGCTTCCTTTTCAAAGAACTTTCACCTTCCAGCTTTAGAGGCATAACATTAAAAGGAAGCAAGCATATCAAGAATTCCCTTTTTTTCCAGCAGCGAGAAATCTAAATTTCCTCATTTGTATAATTGGAATACTGCCTTGTCCACCATCTGAAGATGTTTTTGGAGAACCTAAGCAAAGAAGTAAGAGAAGAGAAGGGGAATTCATATTTACCAAGCATCTGTTGAANCTGCCTTGTCCACCATCTGAAGATGTTTTTGGAGAACCTAAGCAAAGAAGAGAAGAGAAGAGAAGGGGAATTCATATTTACCAAGCATCTGTTGAGTCTGANAAGAGAAGAGAAGGGGAATTCATATTTACCAAGCATCTGTTGAATCTGAGGTCAATTTTATTCATTATTTATTTTATACTCAAAATCTTTTTGCGAGGGTGGCAATACTGTTCCCATTTTATG